CAACAAACTCGCGAATGATTATGCCAGTCTTTGTTCCACTAATCTTGAACTCCCTTTTATACCTTCGGACCTACGTGTGCCACTTTTACATCTTTTTTTTTCATTTTTCGCGGTCAACGAGGACAGCCGTTCATGTCAGGTTAAAAGAAAAGCCGAATACAACCTTTCTTTTTCCAACCAGGCGAACCCCTTTCCACTGCCAGTGTTTGCTGTGGAAGCTCTTACTATGGAGGAAAACCTGCTAACACTACATCTAACATACACTACTCGATCCCGGCCTAACTATTGCCGTTCGAGCAGGTATCTAGTGGCTCTTGTTAACTATGCCGTCCTAGTATTATATCTTGTTACTAACTCGTACTACTTGAGTGTGGTTGCCGACTTGATAGGACCGATGGTGTAAAGGAGGGTGACTGCGAACCATGCATGCATGCATGCGACCCACGTGGTGCATGTTGGCATTCACAACATTTCCATATGCGTACATCAGTACACTCGCTGACCCAAACACGACATATCAAATCCTTTTTTGCCCGCTAGAAATCTTCTTCTCTGCAGGCCGCAGCTACAGTGAGCAACTAGTTGCTCGTCGAAAATGAAATCTTCTATTTTTTGTGGAACTGCTGGATCGGTTGGACGCGCGGGTAACAGGAAGGGGTTTGAGACGTTTCCACTCATTTTGTTTGTGCTACGAAACAGAACAGCGTTCCAATTTGGCAAATTGTCCGTCCAGTTTTGCATACAGACGAACAGAGAAAATGACCGGCCATGCCTTTGCCATTTTGTGCAACGGAATGGGACGACGCCGGCCAAGTTTACTTTTCTTGTGCTTTATGCGTCAGTACCAGACCTTGACACAGCAGAAAGGGGGGCATGGACCCTGGTCGTCGTCCGCGGTTATTTCTTAATAACATGCTTAACGGGTTTGGTGTATTTGATTTGAGACTACCATTGCCATATACGCACTAATCGCCGTGCAAGATAATGGTTTATGGGGTTCTCGGTGTCGTACGATTTCTCCCGAAAGCTATATAGAAGTCACAGTTGAGCGGCATGCGCCCGGGTGAGCGGCATGCCTGGCTGAGTATACAGAGGTGGGCTTAGTCCCGGCCGTCCACGCAACGTGCAGGAGTGCTTAGGGTGATTGGCCCATGACCCCCTTCGCGCTCAGGATTTAGACGGGCGTGTTGAACTCTCTGGAGAGCCTACGTAGGACTCAGGGCCGGGCCCACAGTGGTGCCAAAGGTGCGGCCCGCACAGGGTCCAAAATTCTAAGGGGCCTCAATTTTTTTATATAGTTATAGTAACAGTAAACATAACTGGGCCGAGCGGCGAGCGACTAGGCCCATTGAGCGAGAGCGAGGCCATCGAGCGGACGGAGCGCTGGGACTCCTCCAGATCGCTACGAGGAGATCAGGCGACGAGGCAGCACTCAGAGGAAAAAAAGGCGACGAGGGCATCGCTAATTAGCTACGTTATCTAAAAAATACTAGATCGCTGCCATAAAAAAACATTAGATCGCTACAGCCTGCAGAATCGGATCACTGGAGCCCTCGACGGCTGGACGCTTGGAGCCCTTGACGTCGTCACGTCGACACCTCCTCCCGTCTCCTCCCTCGGTAGCTCTCGCTCGGTCCCTGGTCCTTACTCCTTAGACCGATCCAATTTCGGATTCAGGCCGACTTAAGCGACAGGCCACTTCTGCGGTGCCGCCAATGACTTCCTTGACTCCTTTCTTAAATTTCAGACTCGTTGACGTCATCTCATCAAATTGATCGGTCACTGACGCTACTACGCTAGCCTTCAGGTGCTAAGCGAGTCATTCTTTTTGGTTAACTTCGGTTCCTACTCCTAAATCCTAATTCTTAATTTTCTAATGATTTATTGACAAGGATCGTTACTTCATTAGAGATTGGTTCTTACCTCCCCGGTTAAAGATCACATGACCGAAAATTAGGTGAGTTAGACGGTTCGTCTAATTCCCAAGCATTGACACATGATGTCCAATTGATATATGCTACGTATAAATTCAATTTTATTTTATTCATCTTCTTTATCTTGTGTTTCAATAATACAGATTTGAGTCATCATGGGGAAACATCAGTCGGGTGCCTATAAGCGCAAGAAAAAAGCAGAAGAAGAAAATTTAATTACTAAATCTTATAAAGGTGGTATGGACAGATTTGTTATTGTTAAAAAAAAGGCACCGCAAGTGTCATCTGGTAATCAGTCTATGGATCCTTCTACCCTTGCACTTGCAATTGTTCCTTACAATGATTCTAGAGATAGTCATACAGAGACAGTTAATATGGATGTAGGCGAAGATAATATTGATGTTAACTTGAATAGTTCACCTCATGAGGATGTTGATGATTCTTTTCGGTCTGATATATTTGATCCAAGAAACCGGGATTCTCTTAATTCTAAAGATATTGATATCTTAGCATAGAAGGGTCCAAAAACAGACAAGTCAGTTAAAGGTCCCAAAGATAGATATCATAAAAGGTTTACTTCAGTATTCTATACTAGAATCCTATCAAATGGAGAGTATTGTGATAGAGTGAAGTGTTGGAGAAGATTGATTACGAGGATATCATTGAAGATTTCATATCAAAGAATACTAAAAGAATGATGTTTTTCAATTGTTATGTAAGACATTATATTATATATATTATGAAAAAATTTCTGCTTGATATATATTAATATATACATTATAATTGCTTGTTAAGTTATTTTTTAGTCAGATAGGGCCCCATTTTTTAGTTTGGCACAGGGCCCTGGATTTTGTCCGCCCGGCCTTGGTAGGACTACGGCATGTCGATTATCCAAGGCCGGACATTACCCAGAAAAGTGTGTCCTGACAGAGGTAATCGAGCGTATCGGGTAATGTAGTGCATCCTTGCAAGGAAGTAATCTATTCGAATAGCCGCGTCCATGATAACAGGATGACTTGGAGTTGTAACCCGACCTCTTAAAACGAAAACCGGATACTTGTTAAAACACACCCAGATAAAAGACAGATGGCCTCGGTGATCGCTTTCTCTCAAGGAGACGATGAGGAGAGGATCTCTGGGCTGGATTATTGCTATATGTTGATATACAAAGATACCATTTAAACTCCTCTCTTCCACTGCTGCGAGATGATGGCTACCAGAAGATGTAGTCTTCGATAGGATGAGTTTCTCTCCCTTATTCTGGCATTTCTATAGTTTAGTCCATAGATACTACCCCATTCCTTTGATACCGATGCATATTTAATGTAGATCTGATGTAAGTCTTGGAAGTATTTTGGATGAGTACTCACGGTTGCTTTTCTTCCTTTTTCATTCGACCCGGTTGCTACAACAGCTAGTAGCACCGCGGATGCAGGTTACCCCGATGATGGTTACTATGTGGAGACCAGTGAGCAAGAGTAGTCCGATGGTCGTTCTTTTGCTCAGCCTTCTTAAGGCAAAACTTGTCTAACGATGTTTGTACTTAGATATTATTTACTTTGATGACTGATGTATTATGTTCCCTTGTCGCCCTGCCTTGTAATATAAAGTTATATGTTTAAATTTGTGTCGTAGAGTTGTGTTGTGATATTGACGTGAGTCATCTTCCGTGATCATGCATGACGCATGTATAATTAATGCATGATTATAAATGAGGGTGTAATATACTGCATTTAAAAAGGGTCACGAAACCATTTGGAAGCATGCATGCATGCGCCTCAGTTGCGGCATTCACAACATTTCCATATGCGTACATCATCACACTTGCTCACCAACAACCGAAAATCCCTTTTGAAGGCCGAGGTCCAATGAGGCCAGTTTTTGAAAATTTCTGAATTCATTAAAATTTATATTTTTACAGACAACAACAACAACAACAACAACAACAACGACAACAACAACAAAGTCTTTAGTCCCAAATAAGTTGGGGTAGGCTAGAGGTGAAACCCATAATATCTCGCGACCGACTCATAGCTCTGGCATATGGATAGCTAGTTTCCACGCATCCCTGTCCATAACCAAAATTGAAATTTTTACATTTTTAAAAAATTCTTTAAAAAATATAGATATGTGTGGAGGCATAATGTACAAGTGTGTAAATTTTCAGGACGAAATACATTAAAACGAGGGCTGTGCAAAATAGACAAATCTGGGACTTTTTAACACATGAAACTACTCATCCTCCCAGGACATGAATTTGTCTATTTTATACAGATCGTATTTTAAGGTATTTCATCCTGAAATTTCACACACATGCACATAACATTCTTATTTACTTGTACACATTTTTTCAGATTTTTTGAAAAATGAAAAGTATGAATTTTGATATATTTTTTAAATGCCCCCCATGGAGACCGAGAGCCAAAATGCCTCACTCACCAACTACGCCATATTAAAGCCAGTTTACCCTATAAATCTTCTGCAGGCGACAGCTACAGTGGAGCAACTAATTGTTCTCCGAAAATGAAAGCTTGTGTTTCCATGAAATTGCTGGATTCTATTTGACGTGTGTGCACGTCTGAACGAGAAACCTCGTGGATAACGGGGGGTTTGAAAAGTTTCCAGAATTTTGCCTGTGCTTCTAGAATCTGTCAATATGTATGGGTCTGAACAAAAAACACTCACTGTACGTAGGAGGATCGGTTCTCAAAGATGTTACGCGATCGATGATGGAAAATGGCATGGATCCAACAAAATAGCGTTCCAATTTGGCAAATTGTCCGTCCAGTTTTGTTTTGTTTGCATTGAAACGAAGGGAGAAAATGACCGGCGGCCGTGCCGCTTCCCACCAAACCCCGACTTTTTGAGAGCGAGCGATCCCTATCTATCCCACACGGACCGGCCGGACCATACATGATCCCTTCTCGTGTAACGGAATGGGACGACGCCGGCGAAGTTTACTTTCGTTGTGTTGTGTGCGTCAGTACTATAAGCCGTCGCAAGTTGACACGAAGGCTTGAAACGTTCCAACCTAACTCACGCGGTCGTGTCAGACGGCCATGACCAATGACATTCTCTCTGGTTCTCCACTGTAATTTATACCCCACCAGCTCTGTCCCCGGTTCAACACACACAAGAGGAACTCGATCACCAGCTCCACGAGAAGAGGAGCCGGCCGACACCCGACCCAGCACCAACGCACGCCGGGCACACCAAGACCAGGAGAGAGACAACATGCGTCCATCACGGGGTCTTCACCTCGCCGTGCTTCTGCTCCTCTTCTCGGCCTCCGTCCTCCTCCCGGCAGCCAGAGCCCAGGAGGAGACCGACGAGGAGGAGGAGTTCAGCTACTTGCTGGACGCAGAGAACGGGCCGGCGCACTGGGGCGACATCAAGGAGGAGTGGTCTACGTGCGGAAAGGGCAACATGCAGTCGCCCATCGACCTCGCCAGCCCACGCGTCTCCCTCGTGCGCGGCCTCGGCTACCTCAACCACTCCTACGTCCCAGCAAACGCCACCATCATCAACCGCGGCCACGACATCATGCTCAAGTTCGAGGGCGACGCCGGGAGCGTCTCCATCGCCGGCACACCCTACTTCCTCCGGCAGCTGCACTGGCACTCCCCCACCGAGCACAGCGTCAATGGCCGCAGATACGACATGGAGCTCCACATGTTCCACGAGAGCGCCCAGGGCAAGGCTGCCGTCATCGGTGTTTTCTATGAGGTCGGCGCCCACGACGCCTTCCTGCACAAGGTGCCTCTCTTTTCTTTCTTGCATCCTGTCTTTAGTTAACCAACCAACGAAGCAGGCTTAGTTAAGCTTGATGATTAACTAAAGCCAACATGGCAACATGGTATGGTGTAATGCTTAATTAACGGCAACATGGGACTTATGCCTTAATTAACGGCAACATGCAAAGCTGCATGATGCAACTAATTGCATGATGCAAGCTATAATTTGCACGCCATGCATGGGGCTAACCCTTATGTTGTACGAACGCAGATGGAGCCTTATCTGGAGATGATAGCGGATCGCAAGGACAGGGAGGAGAAGATGGGCATGATGGATCCCAGGGACGCTAGAGGCAAGGCCAGCGTGTACTACCGCTATCTGGGCTCCCTCACCACCCCACCCTGCACAGAAGGGGTCATCTGGACCATCATCAAGAGGGTACGTTCCGTTTAATACATTCACCGTCACACATCACCTTGCATCAAACACACTACTTCCTCTGTCCCATAATATAAAACGTTTTTAACGTAACGGAGGGAGTACCAAATAACAACTATCAGTAAAATATTGCATTTCTAGACCATCACATGACACACAACTTGCAACTGTCAAATAAAAGAATTTTGTGGAACTTAGCAGTTGGCAGGGAGCTGCCAGTTCGATCTATGTAAATATCCTTTGATTTGTTATGCACAAGGAATCTTCCCACCGGTTTCGTCTTTCCATCACTTTTGATTGATGGGAATTTAGATGTGTGCACAAGTCCTATTATACGTCATGCATTGAGTGGTTGGGTGAATAATAATGAAATTGATATATATATATATATATATATATATATTTATTTATTTATATATATATATATATTATGTTACTGAAACTTTATAGTTTTCCCTATCTGGTTGAATTTGCAGGTCCGCAGTGTGTCGAGGCACCAGCTGGAGCTTCTCCGGGAGGCCGTTCACGACGTAAGTTTTCTTTTTCCACTTCCGTTTCTCTAATCGTTTTCAAGAAAATAATGTCTTGCTATTCTCCTGGTGCACTCAACTCTTGTCCTATGCATAGCTTTGATCTTATATAACTTTACTATTTGATGGTATGTATTTAGTGTGCGTGTGTTAGTGTTGGCTGTGTGCATTCTATCTATGCAGAGGTCAGGTGTGCTCATTATGTTTCTATTCTCTTGATGCTTCATTTTGGCTCAAATAAAATCACCCTTTATCGAAAAATTCAACTCTTGTCCTTCAGCACTTTCCAGAATTTTTTTTGGACTGATTTTCCTTTAACCCTACATGCAGGACATGGAGAAGAATGCGAGGCCGCGTCAGGAGGTGAACAGCAGAGATATCAGCATGTTTCGTCCTTTTGAGCAGAATAGACATTGATTACTAGTGTTGATCCTCTGCCTAATTAGATTGGTGCTTCAGCTATTTTTTTGTGTACATGGTTATATGGTTTTTGTACGTAGTAGTTCTTTCCGTCCACTTTGATGCCTTGTATATGGTTACTGAATAATAAAGGAACATGACCAGTTCATGTCCATGCATATCTTGATGTTGACATACTGGGATCTACCAGATCATCGACATGATTATTGATGGCTATTCCATAACTTATCTGTTGGGAATCGTAGCAGAAATTTAAAATTTTCTACGCATCACCAAGATCAATCTATGGAGTAATCTAGCAACGAGGAGAAGGAGAGTGCATCTACATACCCTTGTAGATCGCTAAGCGGAAGTGTTGTAAGAACGCGGATGAAGGAGTCGTACTCGCAGCGATTCAGATCACGGTTGATTCCGATCTAAGCGCCGAACAACGGCGCCTCCGTGTTCAACACACGTGCAGCCCGGTGACGTCTCCCACGCCTTGATCCAGCAAGGGGAGAAGGAGAGGTTGGGGAAGACTCCGTCCAGCAGCAGCACGACGGCGTGGTGGTGGTGGAGGAGCGCGGAACTCCAGCAGGGCTTCGCCAAGCACTACGAGAGGCGATGAGGGAGAGAGGTAGGGCTGCGCCAAGAGGAAGATGATCTCGTGTATGTTGCAGCCCCAAATACGTCAAGTATATATAGGGGAAGGGGAGGGGTTGCGCCCCCATCTAGGGTTCCCTCCCTAGGGGTGGCAGCAGCCCCAAAACCCATCTAGGGTTGCGGCCAAGGGGGAGAGAGAGGAGGCGCACCAAGGGTGGGCCTTAAGGCCCATCTGCCCTAGGGTTTGCCCCCCTCCCCTCTAGTAGGCGCCTTGGGCCTTGGTGGGAGGCGCCCCAGCCCACCTAGGGGCTGGCCCCTTCCCACTATTGGCCCATGTAGGCCTCCGGGGCTGGTGGCCCCTCCCGGTGGACCCCCGGACCCCTCCGGTGGTCCCGGTACACTACCGGTGATGCCTGGAACACTTCCGGTGGCCAAAACCATACTTCATATATATTAATCTTTACCTCCGGACCATTCCGGAACTCCTCGTGACGTCTGGGATCTCATCCGGGACTCCGAACAACATTCGGTAACCGCGTACACACTTTCCCTATAACCCTAGCGTCATCGAACCTTAATTGTATAGACCCTACGGGTTCGGGAGTCATGCAGACATGGCCGAGACATCTCTCCGGTCAATAACCAACAGCGGGATCTGGATACCCATGTTGGCTCCCACATGCTCCATGATGATCTCATCGGATGAACCACGATGTCAAGGATTTAATCAATCCCGTATACAATTCCCTTTGTCTAGCGGTATAGTACTTGCCCGAGATTTGATCGTCGGTATCCCGATACCTTGTTCAATCTCGTTACCGGCAAGTCTCTTTACTCGTTCCGTAACACATCATCCCGTGATCAACTCCTTGGTCACATTGTGCACATTATGATGATGTCCTACCGAGTGGGCCCAGAGATACCTTTCCGTTTACACGGAGTGACAAATCCTAGTCTCGATTCGTGCCAACCCAACAGACACTTTCGGAGATACCTGTAGTGTACCTTTATAGCCACCCAATTACGTTGTGACATTTGGCACACCCAAAGCACTCCTACGGTATCCGGGAGTTGCACAATCTCATGGTCTAAGGAAATGATACTTGACATTAGAAAAGCTTTAGCATACGAACTACACGATCTTGTGCTAGGCTTAGGATTGGGTCTTGTCCATCACATCATTCTCCTAATGATGTGATCCTGTTATCAACTACATCCAATGTCCATGGTCAGGAAACGTAACCATCTTATTGATCAACGAGCTAGTCAACTAGAGGCTTACTAGGGACATGGTATTGTCTATGTATCCACACATGTATCTGAGTTTCCTATCAATACAATTCTAGCATGGATAATAAAAGGTTATCATGAACAATGAAATATAATATAATCATAACTAATTTATTATTGCCTCTAGGGCATATCTCCAACAGTCTCCCACTTGCACTAGAGTCAATAATCTTGTTCACATCGCCATGTGATTAACACTCACAGGTCACATCGCCATGTGACCAACATCCAAAGAGTTTACTAGACTCAATAATCTAGTTCACATCACTATGTGATTAACACTCAATGAGTTCTGGGTTTGATCATGTTATGCTTGTGAGAGAGGTTGTAGTCAACGGGTCTTGCCATATTCAGATCCCTATGTATTTCGCAAAACTTTATGTCATATCGTAGATGCTGCTACCACGTTCCACTTGGAGCTATTCCAAATTGTTGCTCCATTATACGTATCCGGTATCTCTACTCAGAGCTATCCGGATAGGTGTTAAGCTTGCATCGACGTAACTCTTTACGTCGAACTCTTTATCACCTCCATAACCGAGAAACATTTCCTTATTCCTCTAAGGATAATTTTGACCGCTATCTGTGATCCAGTCCTAGATCACCTTTGTACCCTCTTGCCAGACATATGGCAAGGCACACATCAGGTGCGGTACTCAGCATGGCATACCATATAGGGCCTATGACAAGAGCATAGGGGACGACCTTCGTCCTTCCTCTTTCTTCTGCCATGGTCAATCTTTGAGTCTTACTCAACTTCACACCTTACAACTCAGGTAAGAACCCCTTCTTTGACTGATCTATTTTGAACTCCTTCAAAAACATGTCAAGGTGTGCGTTCTTTGAAAGTATCATCAGGCGTCTTGATCTATCTCTATAGATCTTGATGCCCAATATGTAAGCAGCTTTATCCAGGTCTTCCTTTGAAAACACTCTTCAAACAACCGTTTATGCTTTCCAGAAATTCTACATTATTTCGGATCTACAATATGTCATCCACATATACTTATCAGAAATGTTGTAGTGCTCCCACTCACTTTCTTGTAAATACAAGTTTCTAGCAAACATAGTATAAAACCTAAAAGCTTTCATCACTCCATCAAAACATATATTCCGATTCCGAGATGCTTGCTCTAGTCCATAGAAGGATTGCTGGAGCCTGAAGGGTAACGTGGTAATTTCAAAAAAATTCCTATGCACACGCAAGATCATGATGATGCATAGCAACGAGAGAGGAGAGTATGATCTACGTACCCTTGTAGATCGCAACGGAAGCGTTGACACAACGTAGAGGAAGTAGTCGTACGTCTTCCCAATCCGACCGATCCAAGCACCGTTACTACGGCACCTCCGAGTTCTTAGCACACGTACAGCTCGATGACGCTCCCCGGGCTCCGATCCAGCAAAGCTTCGGGGATGAGTTCCGTCAGCACGACGGCGTGGTGACGATGATGATGTTCTACCGACGCAGGGCTTCGCCTAAGCACTACAACGATATGACCGAGGTGGAATATGGTGGCAGGGGGCACCGCACACGGCTAAGGAACGATCACGAGGATCAACTTGTGTGTTCTAGGGTGCCCCTCTGCCTCCGTATATAAAGGATCCAAGGAAGGGGGTGCGGCCGGCTAGAGGAGGGCGCAGGAGGAGTCCTACTCCTACCGGGAGTAGGACTCCTCTCCCCGTTCCTTGTCCAACTAGGAGAGGTGGAGGGAGAGAAGGAAAGGGGGGCGCCGCCCCTCCCTCCTTGTCCAATTTGGACTAGGGGGAGAGGGGGCGCGCGGCCTGCCCTGGCAGCCCCTTCCTCTTCTCCACATTAGGCCCATAAGGCCCATTAACCCCCCGGGGGGTTCCGGTAACCCCCCGGTGCTCCGGTTTTATCCGAAACTTCCCCGGAACGCTTCCGGTGTCCGAATATAGTCATCCAATATATCAATCTTTATGTCTCGACCATTTTGAGACTCCTCGTCATGTCCGTGATCACATCCGGGACTCCGAACAAACTTCGGTACATCAACATGCATAAAACTCATAACAAATGTCATCGTAACTTTAAGCGTGCGGACCCTACAGTTCGAGAACAATGTAGACATGACCGAGACACGTCTCCGGTCAATAACCAATAGCGGGACCTGGATGCCCATATTGGCTCCTACATATTCTACGAAGATCTTTATCGGTCAGACCTCATAACAACATACGTTGTTCTCTTTGTCATCGGTATGTTACTTGCCCGAGATTCGATCGTCGATATCCAATACCTAGTTCAATCTCGTTACCGGCAAGTCTCTTTACTCGTTCCGTAGTACATCATCTCACAACTAACATATTAGTTGTAATGCTTGCAAGGCTTATGTGATGTGCATTACCGAGAGGGCCCAGAGATACCTCTCCGACAATCGGAGTGACAAATCCTAATCTCGACATACGCCAACCCAACATGTAACTTTGGAGACACCTGTAGAGCTCCTTTATAATCACCCAGTTACGTTGTGACGTTTGGTAGCACACAAAGTGTTCCTCCGGCAAACGGGAGTTGCATAATCTCATAGTTATAGGAACATGTATAAGTCATGAAGAAAGCAATAGCAACATACTAAACGATCGGGTGCTAAGCTAATGGAATGGGTCATGTCAATCAGATCATTCATCTAATGATGTGATCCTGTTAATCAAATAACAACTCTTTGTCCATGGTTAGGAAACATAACCATCTTTGATTAACGAGCTAGTCAAGTAGAGGCATACTAGTGACACTCTGTTTGTCTATGTATTCACACATGTATTATGTTTCCGGTTAATACAATTCTAGCATGAATAATAAACATTTATCATGAAATAAGGAAATAAATAATAACTTTATTATTGCCTCTAGGGCATATTTCCTTCAGAGCCAGCATACCTTTTAGCATCCTTAGGATTGACAAAACCTTTTATTGTATCACATACAACTTTTCTTATGAAAACTTGGTAAGAAAACTTGTTTTGACATCCATCTGTAAGATTTCATAATCGAAAAATACAGCTAGTGCTAACGTGATTCCGACGGACTTAAGCATCGCTACGGGTGAGAAATTCTCATCGTAGTCAACTCCTTGAACTTGTGAAAAGACTCTTTCCCACAA